CTGCGCGTCCGGAGCCTGTGCTCCGCAACGGGAGAGGCCACAACAGTGAGAGGCCCGTGTACCGCAAAAAAAAAAAAAAAAAAAAAAGATAGCAAGGATTAGGCTTTAGGTTTTGAGATTAAGAGGGCTGAATCTTTTAATAAGAACATCATGCTTTGATTATACCTGAAAGCAGAATTAAAATTGGTTCAGAAATTATTCATTGAGCATCTGTTATGTGCTAGGCTCTGTATTAGGGAACATGAAAGAGCAAGAGAATAAGGACTAAGTCTACTTCATCTTTGTATCCCCAGCTCCTAGCCTGATGCCTAACACATAATAGATGCTTGCTGTAAATGAGAGAATGTGCACTGAAAACAGCTTACAGTCTCATAATCATATTTTTGTTATTTGTTTGTTGGTTGGCATTACTTTTGTAATCTAGTAGGACAGAGTGTTAGTGAGTTAGGATATACAATTTTTAATCCTGTATATACTATTTTTTAATAACAGCTTTATTGAGAGTCACATACCATACAATTCACCCATTTAAAGTATAAAATCCAGTGTTTTTTAATGTATTGTTCAAACATCACCACAGTCAATTTTAGAATATTTCCATCACTCCAAAAAGAAACCCATACCCCATACCCATTAGCCATTAACCTGCACTTACCCTCAATTCCCCCACAGCCCTAGGTAACCCTAATCTACTTCCTGTCTTTTTTTTAGGGGGTTGGGGTGGACATGCCACGCAGTTTGTGGGATCTTAGTTCCCCAACCAAGGATTGAACCTGGGCCTCGGCAGTGAAAGCACTGAGTCCTAACCACTGGACCGCCATGGAATTCCCCTACTTCCTGTCTTTATAGATTTCTCTATTCTGGTCATCTCATAATCCTGTATATAGTATTCACTTACTTTATAATTTTTTAAGTTGGTTTATCCTTGTAAAACATAAGAAAATCAACTTATGTTAACTTCTCACTTCATTGGCATAATTTAAAGATGAATATGATCATAAGTGCTTTCATACTGGTGATGAGAAATAAGAGAAATCCAAGGGAACATGATTGGAGTTAAATCTAAGTAACTTACTAATAATCAAAATAATTTTTAAAATCTAACTTGTCTTAGGTTGAAAAGCCATCATTGCTTGAAATATCATACACATGTATTAGAGTGTGTGGATACAGATTTACTAGAGTTTACATACAAAGCTCTGATTTACTACAATATATAGTGGTAGCTTTGTTAGCAATTGGCTACATGTTGTAGTAATTGAGAGGCATGTTGTGCTTTAGATGTAAGTAAAATTTATATCTACATTTAGAAAATGAAGAAGTTGAAAAGCCAAGACTTCTGTGGGCTCTTTACTTCAATATGAGAGATTCTTCAGACAGCAGCAGGAACTCTTATAATGATTTACCATCCAACGTTAATGTCGGCTCTGGCCCAGACTGTGCTTTAGGGAATGATAATGCAGTCAAACAGGTAAGGCTGTTGGTGTTTCTTGGTTTTATGTTAGGATGTTGGTGTGGTAGGGGAAGTGAATTGTTTTTTCCTGTAGGAGGTGGGAAAAGAAGCTTAAAAAGCATCTCTTTCATTTAATACCATCTCTGCAATTTGCCCCTAAACTTTTTCTTGGTGAACAACAAAGCCACTTTAATATCAAATATTTTCACGTTCTTGAATATAATGATGAAGTACAAGAGATTGTTTATGAGTTCCATTGTGGGAATAAAGATAGAAGATGTTAGAAGTACATATTCAGAAAAATGAATTTATAATGCCAGTATTCTAAAGAAACATTGCTTCTAATTTAAATGGTGGCCTATCATTGTATTTTGAAATACACAAACTTTTTCCTCTGTAAACTTGAGTCATTTCAAAAAGAGTGTAACTAGTAAGGCATACAAAATGTATTTTTAAAATGGCACATTTTTAAGGCACATTCTTACCATGGAAAAGAGCATATAGTTTTTCACAATTAACATGATTCCTTTAATGTTTTGACACAAGCTGGTGTCCCAAAGCTACTATAATAGCTGCTGAGGAGTATGTTAAATCAAGGTGGAATTTTGTGACAGCACTCCTAGGCAGGGCTATCAATAGGTACAGGGCAGGTGACACAAAATGCCAAAAGTGAATTATGAGTCTACTAAGCTGAAAATTCATATGCATGTACAAACACACTTTTCTGCACTTGACAGGAAGAGTAGAGCAGAAAATACCATTTTTTAAGGTATAAGTCTAAACTTTTCACCAATATAGTTGGCGCATCTGTTTATTGAAACAATAAATGGATAATTTAACGTTGTTCTAAGACCACAGATGGAAGTTTCATTCCCACTAGTGGTAGGGATCTTATAGGAGCAGATGGCCTTTTTGAGCCTTTAATCTAATTTTTAGGCATAGCAGCAAGGCTATGACCTATGCATTTACAGTTTTTTACCAGGTTCTTTGTTTCTCATCTTCAGAGTCTAGTGGTGATCCAGGATAATCATATTTAGTCAGTGATAACAAACAAAAATAGGAAGTCACATCGCTCATCCATCATTTATTCTGTTAGTTTGATAGGAACTCAGGATGGTTCAATATCTACATTTATGGCTTAAAATGGCCAAGTCATTTTTGCTTTAATGGTCCATTTTTTTCCAAGAAGAAATTACCAGCAAGTTATCAGCCAGTTAACTTTATTCCTGAGTGAACTTTAATGTTTTTTTTTAACCAAAATGGAAGGCCTTAAATAAGGACTTAATATAGAAGTGCTAATGTGATCTAAACTGCAAGCTAAAAGATTAAAATTAAAGGATAATTTTATCATGAGATATTGATTCCCAAGAAGATAGACTTGAGTACAGTGTTTTCACAGAAGAAAACAGTAATAATGCTAGTTTCGGTGCTAATTATTATATACTGTTAATTATAAGTAGGTTTATATTTGTTATATAGCTTTTAACCTCACATCAGTTTTGGGAGAAATATTATAATACCTACTTTAAAGGGCATCAATAACAACATTTAAAAATAGCCAGTTTATTCAGATAAACTCTGTTCTAATTCCAGTATGTCATGCTGTGTTCATCCCAAACACTAACTGATGACTCTGTTTTCCAAATTGTCTCTAAAAGCCCTCAGAACATCACCTAAGCTTTGCCTGTGTAGGAAACATAAGTACCTGCAGATTTCATTTTTCTTTCTTTCTCTTTTTTTTTTTTTGAAATAAAATGCTTCATTTTGCTAGTTGGGAAGTTTGCATCTGCTCTTCTTATTTGTAAATGTATAGATGTTGAATAACATAGACCTGTCTCTCTTGTGTTCATATGAAGCTATTTATGATTTGAAGACATATTAAAAATATAAAGTAGTCTGATATGTTTATTACTCACAAATTAAAGTTGTGTGCAGGAGCATACCAAGACATTCCCTATTATGTGAATCTTTGTGTAACTTGCTAGTTTTTGTAGTTTGTGTTACTCCAGTTTTTTTCTGAACCTGACATAAATATTTCTTTTCTTAATACAGGGAGTGTTTCATTTACCCACAGGTACTGATGAACAGACTGGTCTATAGTCCCTACTTGTCTATACTCCCAAGCCAGTGATAGCTCCCTCCTTCTTCAGGAGCCCCCATTGCCTAGGAGCTGCCACTACCTTGAGAATAAGAATAGTTAAATAGTACTGTACTCTGTATTATACTTAAGGTATGAAATGGGTTATATTGGCTGATGTGGACTGGGCTGGCAATCTAACCACCATGTAGAATGTTGTTCATATGGACAGATCAGCAACTTGCTTATGACTTTTGGTTCATAATTTGTAAGTTGAAGACCAGCTTTATAGGTCGTAGGAGCTGTCAAGTTGCTCACATAGTGCAGTAGCATTCACTTTCTCAAGCCATTGAGGGAGAGGGCAGTTTTAGGCGTCATATCTTCTGAAGCTTCCATTCATTGAGCATTTTCTATATGCCAGGCATTGTCCTAATCATCTCATATATATTATTGTATTTGGTTCTCACAACAACCCTATGAGGTAAGTATCTGTGACATCCCCATTTTACAGATGAGGAAACTAAGCCCCAAAGGGGCTAAATAACTTTTCCAGAGATCACATAGCTGTTAAATTTTTTATCCAAGATTTAACCTCAAGTCTGTTGGATCCCAGTGCTTGTACACTCATCTAGTATACTATGCTACTTTCAACTCGTTAATGCAGATACATCCTAAATACATTAAACTGCTAGATTGACAAAATATTTGTTTGTTTTGTGTAGATGTATGTTAAAGAAACATAGGAATATCTAAATAACTCAACGTGTCCTCTCTGTACTTCCCAATATAAGGAAACTAATTCACAATATAATTAGCCCTTTTTAATTATTTTAACCACATGAAAGTCTTTACCCTTTAAGCTAACTTCTGGCTTTAAAAGAGCAAGGAAGGTTAAAAGTTGACAATTAAGTACTCTGAACCAACCTCTTGGTGACAACTCTCAGAACTGGGGCTTAGTTGGCAAATGAAATGAAGTTCACCAAGAAGCATTAGATAGACCTTCCAGAAAGTGGCAGTTGACCCTAAAAGGTTCCAGCAGTTGGAAAGAGGAGAGACTTGGGAAAGGCTGGAGTCTGGCTGTAGGAAATTGGCATCAGAGAGGGCCAATGGCAGTGAGCTGAAGGTGGGATTTCCACAAGCAGGTAGAACACAAATAAAAGCAGGGCGGCAACCTGCAATTGTTTGGCATTCTTAGGACACACATTGTTCATGACAGGGATATACAGAAACAGGTTGAGTGGGATCTAGACACAGGGACTGGAGTTCAGGAGAAAATCTATCCTACAGGGAGATGACAAAAGGGAGACAAGGTGTGAGATACAGAGGAATTGGAGTAGAAGTAAGAGGAACAGTAATAATAATAGTAATCATAATAATTGTTACAATATTTATATTCAACATTTGTATAATATACAGCTTCTAAAGTTCTTCCATATATATATAATATATATATTATATATATAAATATATTAAAATATATATATATAAAAAGAGAGAGAAAGAGAGATTCTACTCCATGCCTGGCACTAAGGATTCAGAGTTATCTAAAACCCAGTCGTTATTCCTGGATGAATCACTGTCTGGTAAAGGAGAAAAACGTGTAAACAAATGACATTGCAGTGTGGTATATGCAATAAGAGAATGATATCGAAAGTATAAAAGTAATATAGAGGAGCCATGAGTTGTATCTAGGAGTCAGAGAACCTTACAGGGAAGAATATAAAAGATGAGTAGCAATTCTTCATCCAAGTGATAGACAATCAAATTGATAGCATTTGCACCAGCCCAGGGTGTAAGCATCATGGTATGTTTAAGAAAGTACCAATAAACAGGTAACGGTGTAGCAAAAGGCGTGAGAGGCAGAGATGGGATGAAGAAGAAGATGATGAGACCAGAGAAGATAGGCCTGAAGGGTGTTGTTTGCCATAATAAGTATCTTGGATTTTTATCCTGTTAGAAGAGTTTTAAGCCAAAAAAAGGCATAAACAGAATTTCATTTTCCACTGACCCTTCTAAGGGCAGCATAAAGATGGATTACACAGGGGAACCCTAGAGGCAAAGTGACCAGTCCAGTTCTGAGATGTTGCAGTTGTCCAGGGGAAAGATGGTACGTGTCTGGGCTATGTCTCTAGTGGAGGAACAGGTTGAGTCAAGAACTAAGAGATAAAATTGATAGGATTTGCTGATTGATTGCATGCAGAGAGTAAAGGAGAAAGAGAACTTCTATAGGCAGACAAGGTAGAGATAACAGACACAGTGACCATTAGAGGAACTAAAGTGTGACGTAGAGGCTCTGTCTGACCTCAGTCCTGCTTCTAGGGACTAAATGTCTCCAGCAAAGATGTATGTGGTAAGACCTCAGGATGGAAGCAAAGCAGGCATCTCAAATATTTAATTTCAAAATATCCATAATAAAATGGCATGTCTAAAAATATAACTTTGAACTATACTTAAGAAAGAAAGAAGCTATTTTTCTCTCCCTGTCCCTTCTTTCAACTCGACATCAAAGCTCAAAAGTTTCTGCTTAACCAACCCTTCACCCTATCCCAAAGATACTGGTTTTATTCACCTGATGTAGGAGTTTACAAGCTATAGATGGCCAAATGGCAAATAGTTTCGATTTTGCAGCCCATATAATGTATTTTGCAACTACTCAACTCCACCATTGCAGTGCAAAAGCAACCGTAGACCATAGATAAATGAATGAGAGTAACTGTGTTCCAATAAAGCTTTACTTATGAAAACAGGCAGCAAACTGGATCTGGCATGTGGGCCATAGTTGTCAACTCCTGGCCTAATGGATGACTTTGCGTGTACTTTGGGAAGAAGGGTTGAAGTGGTACAGACAGACATTGTAACCTTTAAAGCAAAACAAGCATATCTTTAAAACCCTTTAATGACGTTCTTTTACCAGTAGGCTAGAGTGCAAGCTCCCTAGCTTGGCAGGGACCCTTATCTAACAAAGAACTGTATTCATCTAAATAATAGCAGGAATATGTTTAGAATATAATAACAGTGCTACTTGCCACATTTACTTTCTTGTATGTGTGTGTATTGTTGTTAATTAAGATCACATTTACTTTATTATTCTCTTACCCTGCCAGACTAAGCTCAGCTTAAATCTCAACATTTTAATTTATGTTATTATTAATAACAATGATTACAGTTACCAAATAGAGAGGCTTACTCTCTGCCATTCTATAGGCAAGGAGAGCAAGGCTCAGAAGCTGAGTAAGCATTCCCCAGATCACATCGCTGTTAAGTGGCAGAGCCGGCATTTGGGCATGGTTATCTATTCAGTGTCCATTGTCTTGGGCACTGTGTTATATTCCTCAAAGCACAGGGAGAGGAAAATTAGAAAAGCAAATAGTAGAGCAAACAATGAAGAATTTTCTTGATTTGAACAATGACTTGTTAAACTTAGTATATGCTAAATTAGACTGTACAGATAGCACAAACAGGCTCTATTAGGAAATTATATAAAGGATATTAAGGGAAATTGTATTTCTGTTGACATGTAGAATGAATGACCTTAAAATCTCAACTATCTGAGCACTTCATAAAGAGTCTTAGCAAGTACTGATATACTTGAAGGGTGGGCCTGAATGAATGTATAAATTAGAGGGAGAAAAGTCATGGAGTTCTGAAAGCAGTTTTTAGAAGCTTGTGTGTGCTGTGTAAAGTTCTATAACTTAAAGAAAATTTTAAGGGTGATACTTCATTGTTTTGATAGTTCCAGAAAGGCACATACATTTTACGTTAATGTTCAAAAACTCTTGTGCCCTTTCTTCCCTGGCCAGGCTGAAGCACTTTTCCAACAAATCTGCCCCAATGAAGACTTCTGTCCACCCCCACCAAATCCTGAAGACATTATCCTTGATGGAGACAGTTTACAACCAGAGGCTTCAGAATCCAGTGCTATACCAGAGGCCAACTCAGAGACTCCCAGGGAAAGCGCAAATCTGAGAAACCCAGAGGAGCCCTCTGAATAACGAGTATACACCAAACTGAATAGCACATTTTGGAAAATCCTCCTAGCCTCAGAGTCCTCTTGATGGAAGAAAGGTTTGAAAAATGTTACAAAGCAGCAGCCAGTTGACATGCAGAATTACCAAGAGCAACAGATGATAGAAATCCAAAAGGGAATTTTCCTTAAAAAGGACATTCCAAGACCACAAAACACTTGTAAAGCACATTGACTTGCCTGCTTTAAGATACCAAACCTGTGGAATTAGCAGATAAAAATTATAAATGGATTGATTCCCAGAAATATAGCTATGTTTATGAAAGTGATCCTATGCATTGTTAATAATTCTATGGTATTAGGACAGCTTTTGCTTGCCACTTTGGATCTTTGTTTGAAAACCACATCTTCGAAATCTGCTTACATATTTCCTTTGATTATTTGAGTTATATTTTCTTTATGGGTATGAGCATCGTGACACAAATGATAAAAGCATACATAAATATAGCTGATAAAAACTAAAGTGTCATGATCCAGGCAGGAGCCTATGCTTGAAATAGAGGTTTGTTTTGTTTTCTATCTTGAGTATTGAAAATGCTAGTATTAAAGTAGACACTTTTATAAACAAGTCATGAGTTCATTACTCAGTGCTTTTTTCTTTTAAATGTTAGTAGTGATATTTGTATGTGAATCCTGAACATACTAGGAAAGCTCAATACTGAAGAAGTGGAAAGATTTGAATAGGCTCATTGGTATTTGGAAATTCTGTCTAGTCGAGTATCTGGAGCACTAGCTTAATTGTCTATGGACCTAATTTAGTCCTAGCTATGCCACCGATGATATTAAGCAAATTGTTTAACTTCTGGGCCTCAGTCTCTCCATATGTCTACTGTATGAGAATGATTTTGAAGATAAATGCAGTGCCATCCTTAGAATGTTTTTTCTGGAATAAAAGTTGTTTCAGAATTTTCTCATTGTCTTGGGAGTGAATATCAAAGATCTCATGCAGCAAATAATTGTTTGCTGTCACCTCCCCCAACACAGTAGATCACAGTGTTCTTATTGCATTAAGCTTTTAAAATAAAAATCTATTTCCTTAATTAGTATTTTATAGTCTAATAGAAAAGTAAACATAGTAACGTGAAATTGTGGTTTTGAATCTTAATAAGGAAAACAGTCTATAAACTCTTCATATTCTTCTTCTAGTAGGTAAACCTGAAACAACCAAGGACTCTAAATAGAATATGACAATTGGTAAACCCTAATATACACTTAACATAAAAATATAAGGGCTGTACCTAGGCAGCAAATCTAGTTACAGTGACAGTGCCTATATTAAAATCTTTCCAAATGCCAAGCTCTAATGGTTTACCTTTTTTGAGCAATAGTTTGGACTCAACAACTTATTTCAATAAATAAATACATTAAAAGTGTGTTGTCATGTAGTCTGGCCTATCTTGTTGATCAGAGAGCCATGGCTACAGTAGAAAGCACATAGTTCTTACATACTTCAGCTACAGCAGGGCTCTGACCTCTCCAGATTTCAGAGATCTTAAAGGAAACCAGCTCTGTCAGGTCACAGACTCATGAGAAATGGAAAGAATCAAGGAATGTAGCTCTTGCCTCACCTTTTAAACCCTCTGCGGGTATAGCTGAATCCAGAAGAAAATCTTCCCAGCCTCTCAGGCTACTCCTAATCCTTCTCCCCATTGTATAGCCTCTCTCCTATCTCTTTAATCCCCTCTATCCCTTTCTTCCCCTTTTATAATATTATACAAATCAGGGACAATAGAATCACATTATAACCTACTTTGTTATATGGATTCAGATCTATCTTAAATCATATTTCCTGAAACCCAACCACAGCATGCGCTAAATGCACAATACATACCTATAAGCACCGGGTATTGGCTCTGCCCCACAGTACCAGCAATATAAAAGCTTCCACTATATGAGAGTATTGAGTCTGAATACAATTGCAGTAAACTGCACCAATTAAGATATTGTACTTTGTTATAGTCTTAGAGTTAAGGCCTCTTGATGCAGCATGCACACTTATGTAAACAGCCAATCAGGGTACACCCAGAATGACTAGAAAAATACTGATAGCTTTACTACAGCTCTCTAAAACAATGAAGGAGATATTCTGTGGTCTCATGGCCCAGTCCATACTGTACCCTATTTCATCCATTAGCCAGCATCGGAATTTCTCTTCCAGGTTATTTATTAAATACTGTTGAAATGTTTAAAAGCTCCTGAATATGATTAGTGATGATTAAGATAATATACAACTGTTAAAAACCTTGTGTTAGAGAACTTTAGATATTTCCTGTTGCCTCAGAATGTAATAGAAATTATTCTAAGAGCATTCTTTTCAGCTGTCTTAATTACTGCAAATACTTGTTTTCATAGCTTTAAAGGAAAACCTTTTAGTTTTGTTGTAAAACCATAAGCCTGAAGTCATATGAATAAAATATAAATGCTGTATGTGATGCAGAAATTTCAGTAGCTAATTTTAAATTTTGAAAATAGCTATTATCAAAGAATTTTTATTCATGTGTTTAAAATGTTTATGTTATGCATGCTTCTTATTAACCAAAAATGATAATACCATTCAGTTTAGTGATCAACATGAAAACTGGTTACTAACCCTATGTTGCTACTGTATTTTTGTCTAGTTGGTATGCCTGCCCAGAAAAAGATAGATATATATGATATGTATATTATAAACATATATTTTTCTATAGGAAAACTGAGTTATAATTTCCCCATCTTCTATGATATCTAGCTGCTCATAGGAAAATAGTCATGTTAATGGTTAACTTCTGGAATAGTAGTTTCTGAGATGGGCAGCCCTTTGTGTAAAATAATGGCCACACTAATGATTAACTTCTGTCACGGCTGTAGTTCTGGAGAAGGCAGCCCTTTGTCTAAAGTGCTAAAAACCTTGAAAAAAATTTGTTGAAATTTGATTGCTAAATAGTAGTGATCCTTCAAAGTAGTTTTCTTACAAATAAGTTATTTACTGCTATTGGTATTGGATAATTTGTCTCTCAACTCTTGATTGATTTTTCTTATATGCATTTCCAAAAGCATGAATATATGATTATTCATAATTTGCACACTGTAACAGTAAGTTTTCAGAGGAAATAAAGTCTGTTTTTAATGCCTTTCAGGCGTGGTATCCTATTTTTTAATATTAAAATTTTGTATATATGCCAAGAAATTAAAAATTGTCTTGGAACTGATTTATTTGTTGATACTGGTCTATTACTTAAATTCTTAGTTAATTGTCCAGCTGTATACTTGGTTTTATTCCTAGGCATCTGCCAACTGTGTCAGGTTTGTGAAAAAGGCAATCAAATGATACATGCGTATGTTTACTTAGCAAACTGTTCTAGATGCCAGCATCAGATCTCATTCTATTTGAAATCAGTGTTCTGAGTCATGGGATATGCCTTTACAATACATTACCTGCAAACTGTTTTTGCATCTCACTTAGTGTATGAGAATCTGAAACGTTTTTCTTATTTACTTGCTGAGTGCGAACCTGAAGTGTTTTTCTTTGTGGTCTTTGAGTCCCCAACAGTTTACTTGCAACAGATAAGAGACTGCTGATGTTCTTTTCATGCAGAAATCATTCACTGAACTATGATTTGTTCTTGAATCAAATAATTAAAGAAGAGTGACATTTTCTGTCAATTCCAAGTCATTTTTAAACCTTCCCAGACAGGACGTATTCAAAAGATGACATCATTATTTCAAAACTGGCAATTTATCTGTGAGATTATTAATGAATCAAGTTTAAGAAAGATAAGGTTAATTGAATTTTTAAACAAGTAGCTGTATTATCCTTCAAGCACCTTGGAGTTCATAAGAGTATTCACACTTTTTTTTTCTTAAACAAGTGTTTTGATATGTTTCAATTCTCTTCTTTAATGATGGCTCTTTAAAAATGCAAGAGGTTTAACACAACATCCCAGGTCACACTTTGAAGGCCACCTTTCTTTCTATTAACATAGTTTAGCTGTAGGGCTGCAATGCGATGCCCTTCCCATACAAGTTGCCACGTCTGCTCTTTCTAGTGATGATGACTCTTAGGACCATTTGACAGGTGATCATTAGAACTTGAATCCTAGTAGACTGGAGGGTCTTTTCACTTATCACTACAGGGAGATTTATGCTGGTAACACCTATTAATGTTAATAGGACTTGCATGTGTAAATCCTCTTCCCGTCAATGAGACAGTTGACCCCTAAAAGAAATATTCTTTAGAGATGGACAACTTTCTACTCAAGAAGCATTAGTGAATTGTTCTATTCAAATTTTTCATGTGTGGGAAAAAATCTCGAGACTATACTAATTCAGCAAAGGATCTGTAGAGCTTGAAAAGATGAAATAATAGCTCTTAGTTTTCTATTCACATTCTAATATATATTAGATACTGTTACTCTTCATGTTATCAACATAGCATTTTTCTCTTATTTTCACTTATTTTTATTATTTTCTAATTAAAGTATAATTGACATTCAACACTATGTTAGTTCCAGGTACACAATATGTGATTCAATATTTCTATAGATTACAAAATGATCACCACGATAAGTCTAGTTACCATCTGTCACCATACAAAGTTATTAAAATATTGACTATATTCCCCATGCTGTACATCTCATCCCCGTGACTCATTTATTTTGTAACTGGAAATTTGTACCTCTTAATCTCCCTCACTGATTTCACTCATCCTCCCCACACTCCTCCTCCTCTCTGGCAACCACCTATTTTTCCTCTGTATCTATAAGTCTATTTCTGTTTGTTCATTTGTTTTGTTTTTTAGATTCCACATATAAGTAAATTAAAACAGTATTTGTATTTCCTGCCTGCCTTATTCCACTTAATATAATACCCTCTAGGTGCAATCCCTTTCAAACCACCAATAATAGCATTTTTCACAGAACCAGAACAAATAATACAAAAAATTGTATGGAAACACAAAAGACCCCAAATAGTCAAAACAGTCTTGAGAAAGAAGAACAATGCCATAGGTATCACCCTCCCTGATTTCAAACTATATTACAAAGCTACTGTAATCAAAACAGCATGGTACTGGCACAGAAACAGACACCTAGATCGATGGGACAGAATAGAGAGCCCAGAAGTAAATACACATTTATATGGTTAATTAATCTATAACAACAGGCAGGAATATACAATGGGGAAAAGAGAGCCTCTGATAAATGATGTTAGGAAAACTGGACTGCTTTCTCACACCATATACAAAAATAAACTAAAAATGGATTAAGGACTTAAATGTAAGACCTGAAAATATAAAACTCTTAGAAGACAACATAGGTAATATACTCTTTGACATCAGTCTTAGCAATATTTCTTTGGATCTGTCTCCTCAGGCAAGAAAAACAAAAGCAAACAAACAAATGAGACATCAAATGAGAAAGCTTCTGCACATCAAAGGAAACCATTGACAAAATGAAAAGAT